CAGGGAGCCCGATGCGGGGCTCGATCCCAGGACCCTGGGATCATGACCTGAGCCAAAGGCAGACGCTTAACGACTGAGCCACCCAGGTGCCCCTGTGGTTATGTTTTTAACTTTATCCCTTCTCTTAGAGACACACACTGAAAGGTCAAGATGACATGTGATTGTCCTGATTCAAAATAACCCAGTGGAGGGGGACAGACAGGGTATGAATGAAAGAAGATGGGCCGCGACTGAAATACCGAAGCTGGGTGGTAGGGGGTTCACTATACTATTCTACTTTTGTAAATGTTTAAAAATTTCTATCATTGCTTTTGAAAAGAGGTTAAGGAAAAGAGTGAGCAAGGAATCTGATGCCATAGGAAAATGCTGGCAGAACAGAACAGGGAAGAGGTCAGCCAGCCCAGATATCTTTGCTGGGGTGCAGGGACACCCCTGGGCTGGTGTGTGGGGTGCCCCCTGAGCTGACCTCCCCTCCCCACAGTGCGCAGGACCGTTGTCAAGATCCCCTCCACCCTGGAGGTCGACGTGGAAGATGTCACCGCCTCCTCTCAACACATCCACTTCATCCAACCACTGCTCCTGAGTGAGGTCCTGGCCCGAGGAGGCCCCTTCCCTATGCCCACGGAGATCCTGGAAACTCCGGGGGGGCCCCCCATCTTCCTCGACCCTTGGGTAGGCTCCTTACAGAAAGGCCAGCGGCTCTGCATCCATGGCCTGGCCTCACCACCCTGGCGGATCCTGGTCTCAACCAAGGGCCGGAAGGTGCCCAGACACTTCATGGTCTCTGGGGCTTATCAGGGCAAGCTGCGGCGGCGGCCGAGAGAGTTCCTCACGGCCTGTGACCTCCTGGGTGCTCTCCAGCCAGGCCAACCGCTCCGGGTCGTGGCCACAAAGGACTGTGAGGGCGAATGGGTAGAGAGCCCCGGGTTCACCTCCCTGGCTGTGGGCGACAGGCTGGAGGTGTTGAGGTCTGGCCAGGCCCAGGGGGCTGGAGGCCAGGACATAGATGTCTTGGTGTGTCAGCGGCTGAGTGACCAGGCTGAGGAGGAGGCGGAGGAAGAGTATGAAGAGGTAGAAGATGAAGACCAGATTCTGCTGCCCCTCTACGTCTCCAGTAGTTTTGTGGAGGAGATGAGTGATAATCGGCGCTACAGCATGGAAGATCTGATGGCCCAGTTTTCACTGCCCTGCGAAGTCAAGGTGGTGGCCAAGGAGAGCAGCCATCCTGCTGACCCTCTGCCCTCCTTCCCAGGCCTGCGGCTGGAGGAGAAAATCATGGAACCCTTCTTGGTGGTCAGCCTCGACTCCAACCCTGAGATGTGCTTCGAGATCCCTCCCCGGTGGCTGGACCTGACTGTTGTGGAGACCGAGGGGCAACCTGGCCAGCCAGCTGGGATCCCCCCGGTAGCCACAGTAGAGGAGGTGACAGATGCCTTCTACTACACCCTCCGGCAGTTACCAGCCTTCAAGAACCAACCCCCTCCTCCTAGGCCCCCCAAAAGTTGGGGCCTCGGTGGGCAGAAGAAACAAAGCGGCAAGAACAAAAGTGCCCAGGTACCAATATGCCAAAGCGGGTGGGGAGGGGACCCCGCCAGGGTCGCTTGCGGGTCCTGCCCGTTCCTTGTCCTGCCTCTCGTCTTGCTCTCAGTTGTACAGAACTTGCAGTTTCTACACTCACACACTGTGCACCCATTCTTCTCACGCGATCCTGACAATCTGATGCTGGTGTGATGATTCATATTTTACGGGCGAGACAGTGAGGACTCGGAGAGCCAGAGACTTGCCCAGAGTCCCAGTCCAGAAGTGGGAGGCCTGAGCCGGAGCGTGAGCTTCCCCGGCTGTCCCCTCATTCAGGCTTCCTCAGCGCTCACCTAAAGCGTGTCCGCAGCCCCTCCCCCGCCTGCCCACAGTGGTCAGAATGGCCTCCCAAGCCCTTCCCTGGTCATCGATGGGCCTCGGCCCCATCCTCTGAACCTTCAGTGGCTCCCCATGGCCTGGGGGTAATGTCAACCCCCTAGCGTGGCGTCCAGGGAGGGTCCTTTATAGGCTGACTTCAGGCCCCCACCCCCCCCCCCCCGCCAGACCCATCTTCCTCCACCCACTCTGGTCCACACTCAGCCACAGAGCAACTCCCACAGCTTCCTCCCGCCAAGATTCCTGCCTCAGCACTTTCCGCGTGCGCCTTTTGCCAGAATGTGCTTCCTCTTTGCAGTGGGCACGGCTCAGCTCAGGCTTCCTCTGGCAGCGACAGCCTCCCCCCGCCCTGTATTCGCACTGCCACGTGGTACGCGGCCTGGGGGTGCAGGTAGGGGTGCGGGCGGCGGGACAACACCTAGTCTCCAGTGTGCTGCCGGAGGTCTGGGAGGACAGGGACCCCGCCCGGTCCCAGGCGGGCAGACAGTGCCAGTGAGCGCTGAACTGACCCAAACCGAGTCACAGGCACGGGGAAGGACCCGCTTGGGGCGCAGTGCACTCGCTGTGCGGCCTGAGCTCTCCGTGTTCCCGCCCGTGAACCCGGGGTGAGGTCACTCGCTCACAGCGCGGCCTTAGCTGTGGCCACCCACAGGGTCTGCTCCGCGGCGGGCACGTCACCGGCATCGCCCCCCACAGCTCTCCAGACGTCCCTGTGAGCTGGGCGCTGAGAGATGGCGCTCCCCACAGCGGGGAGAACAAGAGGCACAGAGAGGGAGGGTAGCTGGCCTGAGGTCACACAGCCAGCAGACGGCAAGCTGGGGTCTGACACTGGGTCTGATGGCCCAGCCCGGGCACCGAGCTGCGGGCTCTGCTGACGACAGATGACCCGCATCAAAAGCACGGTGTGAAGTGTAGCAAGCCCGCTGTCTGGGGACTTGGGGAAACTCGTATTTTGTACCGCGAGGGTAGGTGGTGGGATGGCAGCAGAAGTGAGAAAGATGAATCTGGAGCGGTTTCGGCCCCAGGAGGGGCTTGCATGTGTGGAGGAGGGGGGAGGGCAGTTGTTTTCTGACAGAACAGAGAACGGACGGGGACATCTGAAACACAGGCCTTCCTGACAGCCAGGGAGAGAACCTAGGACAAAAAATGGAGAGACCTCAGTCCCCGCTTTTGCTCCTGTTGGTAGGGACTTGGGGCCCAGGCCCTGCCCACTGCCCTCGATCCTGCAGCTTTTCTCTGTGCGTCAGCATTCCCCACCGCTGAGTAGGGGCCCCGCATCCTTTGCTTTCCAAGGCGTAGTGTGTGAGCAAGAGCCCGAGCTTTAGAGGTCACGGACATGGTCCCGGGTCTGAACCCTGGCCCAGCTCGCAGTCCTGTGTGAGGCATGACACGGCACACTCTCTCTGAGCCTGTTTCCTCGTGGGTGCATCGGGAACTCAAACAGTTCCTCGGAGGGTCCCCTGAGGGTAAACGGACAGGTGTGCATATGGTCTAAGGTGGGAGTGCAACAAAAGTCCTCCTCCTTCTGGGGCCCCTCTCGGCTCTGGCACTCTGTCCTGAGATTTTGTGACTGCTTTTTGCCCCTTCAGCAGCAGACGTGAAGGACACTGACTGAATCCCCTCTGGGGAGAAACTCAGGGCACCCTGTCTCTAGCCCCCAGCCCTTTCGTCTCTCATCCTGGCCTGTCTCCCCTGCCAAGAACATTTCATGCGCTAGAAACAAAAACACTTGGGGTCCCAGGAAGCCCTACCCTGAACAGAAAGTCAAGAGGGGAGCAGAGGAAGTGACATTTGAAGGAAATTACATTTCATGGACTCCGCTGCCCCATTTCTTGGTACCCTGCTGACTTCTGCTTTTTCTCCTACTTAGTCTTCTGAAGTCTCAGAACTGCCGCAAGCCTTTCTGCTCCCCAAACCCAAGATGAAGACCCTGCCACAGAGTGCCAAGGACAGTTCACATACATACAGCAAGGTTTCTGCCCACATGAAGGGCCTCAGGCACATTAAGTCCATCACAAAAGATCCAGGTGAGTCCCTGTGAGCCCCTGTTCACCCCTGTCATTGCTTCTCCCCTGCTTACTCTGCTCCTGCTTATACCTCTGACAGCAGCAAGGCCCTGCCCTCGAACAGACCCTTCTGCAGTCCCAGTTGGACAGAGGCTTTTAAGGGATGGGCTTGGGGCGCCTGGGTGGATCAGTTGGTTAAGGGTCTGCCTTCAGCTCAGGTCATGATCCCAGGGTGCTGGCATCGAGCCCCGTGTCCGGCTCCCTGCTCAGTGGGGATCTGCTTCTCCCTCTACCTCTGCCCCTCCACCCGCTTGTGCTCCCTTCCTCTCTCTCCCTCCCTCAGATAAATAAAATCTTTAAAAAAGAGAGGGGGTCCCTACTGTCCCTCTTCCAGGGGCTCCAGAGTCCTGGCAAGGAAAATGAGTTCATCTCCAACATACTACCCTCCCCGAGGCATGCAAGGGGAGTATTTACACAGTATTCAGACTGAATAATTTGTAGTTTCTGGTCTAGCAGGGACCTTAGAGCATCCTGACCAACTCCTTCCCTGTCCGGTGCCCTAAAAAGGGGAAGGAACCTGCTTAAGGCCAAAGATCATCATTGACTTGAACTCTTTTGTAGATAACGATGAACATGATTATGAAGAAATACTTGAGACATTTCGGAACACCCTTTAGATGCTGGAGGAACCCTGCTTCCTAACTGCTGTTTCTCAGGGAACCTCTGATACCAGCCAACCGTTACAAGCCTTTGCAAGACCTCAGACAAGATCTCATGAAATCAGACTGTGGACAGGAAATGGCTTCGTGGGGACCAACGTGAAAAGGGATGGCCATTGTACCAGTGCTTTCCTCAGGTTCTAGGTTCCTGCCACTGAGGGCTGGCTTGTTTGGGCCCAGCACCTTATGCTTGACTCCCTCAGCCTCAGAGCTTTGGTATACAGAGGAGCCAACTGGGTTCTGTTCAGTCCTGAGTCCCCAACATCCGTGTCTCACTGGTTGGTGCAGAAAGGAATCCAAGACCACCAACCTTGATGGTGGCAGCACAGTGTTTCCTGCCTCTTGGTAAAGGGAACTCGATCCGGAACACACTGCCCTGAGAGCCTTTTCTTCTGTTTGCCACCCCCTCGCCCTCCTCCTCCCCCACCAAACTCTAAGACCTCGAGAGAGCAGGACTGGGTCATCTGTGTAGGACGCAGCATGATAGTTGCACGTGACGATCCAGGATTTTTTCACTCTAAAACCATAGAATAAAAATGACATCCGGGCATCGGGAAAAATGGAAAGATACCATGTGTCTGTGTGCCAGACCCTTTATAAACATTATCTAAATCTTCAACTCTGAATAGACAACAGCCTGATTTTAAAGGTCAGAAAACTAGCTTGAGTGATCAGGTGCTTCAGGAGGGCTGACTAGTCGTGGGCCTGGGTTAGCATCCCAGCTCACCACCTATCAGCTGTGACTGTGAGCAAGTTCTTTTAAACTAAGCTTCATTTCCTTCATATGTAAAATAAAACTAACGGTTATCTACCTCACAGAATTGTTCTAAGGATCAAATGCGATAACCTTGGTGAAGTATTTAGTGCAGTGCCTGGCGCGTAACGAACAGTAAGAATGTTAGCATCATTCCTGTTGACCCAGATCACGTAGCTGTACCTGTCTCTACAGCCTGTGTTCGTTCTCCACCCCCACACCGTCTCCCAGGCATGGAATCCTTCCGTGTCTGGAATATTCTGAGCTCCTAGACTGGAGACAGTGTGTGCGCACTGGTTGGCGAGCCTCCCCATCCAGCGTAACAGAGAGAAACCTGTGTCTGTGCAGACACTAACTCGGCTTCCAAGGTCAGTCTAGGCCTGTTCCATGAGGTGAGACCACAGGCCTCACTTCCTGGAAGTGGTAGGGCTTTGGTTCCTAGACGGAGGCAGTCACAGAACCAAGCACTGTGGTCAGCAGAGGACAGGAGATAGACAAAACGGTGACCGCAGTCTCCAGCTGAGGCGGGAGTGGAGAGTGTCGGTCTGGAGCTCCTGGATTCGAGGGAGCACATCTGAGTATGTCCTTCCTTGGTCTGCTGACACTCCACTGAGCTGTCCAGACCCGCTTCACCTCCTAGGCCTCCTGGCTTCCATACCCCCGCATGGCGCTCTCCAGGCGAGCACTGAGCAGCTAACACAAGCTGCTGGCCAGTTCCCATGCCTTCCTCCAGAGACCGGCTGAACCGCCCAGGAGGACCCTGAAGAGCATGCTCCGGGACAAGCAATAAATAAGAAAAATACAGAAAAGAGTTCCTCTTTGGCACAGGACCCCGAGGGCCAAGCCCATATGCAGAATGCCAGTAGTTTTCACTTCCACGACTGCATTTAATTGTGGCCCCAAATGGGGCAAGATCACAAAAGGGGGCAGAGGGGGCTACCAGCTCCTACAGAAGGGGGTTTCCGAGGGGCCAAATGCTGCAATGAGAAGCAAGCAAGCAAATTCATATATAGGAAAGCTGGGCTGAAAAGGAAAACATGTTTGAAAACCACAACTGTGAATGTTTTATCACAGCAGTGGGGGTTGGCAGGGAACAAAGGTGGATGATGCCTGTGGGGTGCTTTTGTCTTAACTCTGGAATAAGCCACTGGGCGGTGGGGAGGGTGTTATAGTGGGGCTAGGGGATCCCCCTGAGCAGTGGCCTCCAAAGCGAGCACACACTCCTGGGAATATACAAGATGTACACTGGGAAACAGAAAAGAATTATTAGTCCATGCCTTCATATTTATTTTTCCTATCTTTTCTCATTTCTATTTTTTAATGTTTTGTGATGTAGAGAACATGCTAACACAGGAACAGATGTAAATAACTGCTAAATAAATGAACATAAACTGGAGATGCATACTCAAAAATGGATCGAGTTCTGAATTTCCCTCAAATGCATTTTCAAGTTTTTCTTTTAAGATTTTATTTATTTATTTGAGAGAGAGAGACACAGTGAGAGAGGGAACACAAACAGGGGGAGTGGGAGAGGGAGAAGCAGGCTTCCTGCGGAACAGGGAGCCCAACACAGGGCTCAATCCCAGGACCCTGGGACCATGACCTGAGCCAAAGGCAGACACTCAACTGACTGAGCCACCCAGGCGCCCCTCAAGTTTTTTGTTTTAAAGATTTTATTTATTTATTTGACAGAGAGAAAGCGAGAGAGGGAACACAAGAGGGAGAAGAAGGCTTCCCGCTGAGCAGGGAGCCTGATGCGGGGCTCGATCCCAGGACCCTGGAATCATGATCTGAGCTGAAAGCAGACGCTTAACGACGGAGCCACCCAGGCACCCCGTTTTTTTTTAAAAGTAATCTCTACACCCAACATGGGGCCCAAACTCATGACCCCAAGATCAAGAGTCACATGCTTCACCGACTGAGCCAGCCAGATAGCCCTCCCTCAACTGCATTTTTTTTTTTTTAAAGATTTTGTCAGAGAGATAGCATGAGCACAAGCAGGGGGAGCAGCAGGCAGTGGGAGAAGCAGGCTCCCCACTGAGCAGGGAGCCTGAAGTGGGGCTCCATCCCAGGACCCTGGGATCATGACCTGAGCCGAAGGCAGACACTTAACCAACTGAGCCACCCAGGCGTCCTGCTCAACTGCATTTTTTAAATAAAAGATCTGTTCAGGGACGCCTGGGTGGTTCAGTCAGTTAAGCATCTCACTCTTGATGTTGGCTCAGGTCCTGATCTCGGGGTCCTGGGATCAAGCCCTGTATCAGGCTCTGCGCTCAGTGGGGAGTCTGCTTGAAGATTTCTCTTCCTCTGCCCCTCCCCCTGCTCACACACATGCATGGACACTCTAAAATAAATAAATCTTAAAAAAACCACCCCAGATTTATTCATCCACGTCAGACACTAATTCTTACCTTCTCTAGTTAAACCTGATAAAGTACTACTATTAACCAAGGAGTCTAACTTCCCACCAGTATACCTAGAGATTCTCCTGAGAACAAGCTGGATTCATTGCTTGGCCGTGACCCTGTGCGGGTTTCTGAGAACACGGGTTGTGTTGCTGTTCTTGCTGTCTTAACAAACGTGCGAGAATACCGTATACTTGACATCCCAGGTGGGCACGAACACCCGGAACGCAAGAGCCTCCTGCTCCGGCAGGGCAGAGGCTCCAGAAGGCTGGTTTCGTTCTGCCGAGGAGGGCCTGCCTGTGCTCAGAAAACACACAGCTCCTGGGAGGCCGTGTCAATGCCAAGCTGGCAGGGAATGCCGCGCCACGGAGCTGCCACTCGGTGCTACCGGCAACACGGAACCAGCAAGTCCAGGGACACGACCTGGCGTTTTGTATTTCTAGTACTTGACCAATGGGCTGCCACAGGAGGTATTCAACAAATACTTGAATTAAGTAGTTTGTAATTGCTGAATCCTAAAAGAAAAAAAAAAAAAAGACTTCTACCCAGAATCACTGCTATCGCCCCACCGGTTGGCGAGCGCTAGCCTGAGAACCAGAGTTGTCAACCACTCATAAACGTGTCCTATCACGCATCCCAAATCCAAATGTATGGTTTTTAAAAGAAGATTTATTTATTTTGAGAGTGAGCAAGCACGTGAGGCGGGGAGGAGCAGAGGGAGGGGGAGAGAGAGAAACCCAAGCAGACTCCGCACTGAGCAGAGCCCGACATGGGGGCTCAATCCCACGACCCAGAGATCATGACCTGAGCCGAGACTGCATCAGATGCTTAACCAACTGTGCCGAGGCGCCCCTCGAATATGTATTTTTTAAAAATTTTATTTATTTGAGAGAGAGAGAGAGAGCACAAGACGGGGGAGGGTCAGAGGGAGAAGCAGACCCCCGGCCGAGCAGGGAGCCCGATGTGGGACTCGATCCCGGGACTCCAGGATCCTGACCTGAGCCGAAGGCAGTCGCTTAACCGAGCCACCCAGGTGCCCAAATATATGATTTTTTAACCTGTTTTTAGGCAGTGCCTTTTCTTTTCTTTTTTTTTTTAATATTTTATTTATTTGACAGAGAGAAACACAGAGAGAGAGGGAACACAAGCAGGGGGAGTAGAAGAGGGAGAAGCAGGCTTCCCGCAGAGCAGGGAGCCCAAGGCGGGGCTCGATCCCAGGACCCTGGGACCATGACCTGAGCCGAAGGCAGACGCTTAACGACTGAGCCACCCAGGTGCCCCTAGCCAGTGCATTTTCTTTCAGAAAATAATCAAGAATGGACAGACTTGCAGATAAACATCCTGGTTGACTGACTTTTAACCATCAGTCTAGCTCCCTGGATAGGAACCATTCTGTAGGTACAGAAACAACCACCAGACTTGTTCACTTTTAGAAACCAGAGGGTGGGGCATTTTCCACATGGTTGCTACTAGGTTTCATTTTGAAACACGTTAAAGCAGTTATAGAATTTTTATTTGCACGTTACACCTCATTAACTTACCTCAGAATTAGTTCTCTTCTTCACGAGGTAGCTTACATTCTGGAGTTGTCAAAAACATCTTTGAGGTAGTTTGCTCTCCCACAAGAAACAACTGATTACGGTGGCCAAAGGCTGTAAGCCTTTAGACAGTCTCATTTTTTTTTTTTTAAAGATTTTATTTATTTGAGAGAGAGAGTGAGAAAGAGCGCGCGAGAGAGTGTACACACAAGAGCAGGGGGAGCAGCAGAGGGAAAAAGGAAAGGGAGAAGCAGGCTTCCCTCTGAGCAGGGAGCCCAACTCAGGGCTCGATCCCAGGCCCCTGGGATCATGACCTGAGCCGAAGGCAGACGCTTAACCGGCTGAGCCACCCAGGCGCCCTTAGACAAGTCTCATTCTTGAGGTAAAACGGTAGGTTATCAATTCAGTTGTGACCACATATTGCTAGAGTCAAGATTAAGGTCCACTTTCTATCTACCAATGGCAATGCTAGATGCTTTGCAAACATTGTTTTACTCAGTTTTCACAACACATCTATGAGGAAATGATACAGTTGTCCTCATAAATAGGGAAATGGGAGGCCCTCAGAGCTGACATAGCCTGCTCAAGATCCTAACTAAAAGGGGAAAGCCAGGATTTCAAACCCAAGTCAAGCTATGCTACGCGCCTTAGATGATAAAAGTAGTAATTATACCAGCTTAGGAAGAAAAATAACATTTTCACACATTCTACAATAGAGCTTTTATTAAACATAGGGATGTACTTTTTGGTATGAAATCGAAAGAACATCTTTCTCCCCTCTGCCCTCATGAGGCCACCACTCTGGAACTTCATAAAAACACACTTTCGGCAGCAGTCATGACAAGGTGAAGGAAAGTGCAATTCTGAATATAACACCATATAACCAACTAAAGGGGGGAACAAAACCAGGCAGAGGTTAGTGGGTTTCTTGGCTAGCTCCCTGCTGAAGGCCCTAGTCCTGCTCATCTTCTCTCCACAGGGAACATGATAGGAACAGAAGCTCCTGACTATTCTTTAAGTAATAACTGCCCAACTCCCTCAGTAGCAGAGTTCTCCCACTTCCCTCTGTCCTAATGTTGTAAACAGCTAATTTGTAACTTTTTTTTTTTTTAAAGAGTTTATTTATC